ATATAATAGTCTTATGTTTTGCTATGACTATAAACAAAAGTCAATGTCAAACATTGTCCTTTGCTATATTATTTTTAACCAATTCGGGATTTACTCATGGTTAGCTTTATGTTACTGTTTCACGAGTAAAGAAAAAGACATGATTAAAAATATTGGTTCTAGATGAAAATAAAAACGCTTACAACGATACAAAAAATGTTGTGTACACTAAAGTCTTTCAGAAAATTTGGAATTAAAAAAGATTTTTTTGAGTACACTTTCAATTTCTCAAATATTATATTCTACTTTGTCATTGTTTTCCATTGATTAAAATTTGTGACAGAGATATATTTACTTGATTTTGGAATAAATTTTTCATTGAAAAATTTCAAAATCGACAACCTTTTCGTTCGACCCCGTGCATCGCACGGGTCAAAATACTAGTTGTATTTTAAGTTGCAGCTATGCCTTGGTTGTGTTTTGCGAGATGTTTCGGATGACGGATGAGTTTAGCTGATTTCACCGGTAAGATGTGCTGACGGAATTTATACTTTTATGTTTTAAATTTTAAATTTTCATTTTAATACTTTTAGTTTAAAATTTTTAATTATAAATTTTAAGTTCTAAAATATTAAGATTAAACTTTTATTTGTTAATATATAATTTTAGTTTGTTATTTTAAATTTAAGTTTAAAATTTTTAAAATTTAAAATTTTCAAATTTAATTCTTTAGTTTTAAGTTTTAAATGTTAAATTCTTATTTTTAAATTTTAAGTTTTAAACGTAATGTATTAAATTTTAAATCTTACATTCCAATATTTCTAATTTTTAACTTTATTTAAATTTTAATTTTCTATGTTTAATTTATAATTTTTAAATTTAAATTTCTACTCCGTAATTTTTAATTTAATTTTTCATTTTTTATATTTTAAATTTTTAATTTTATATGTTAAATTTTAAATATTAAACCTTTAATTTTAAATTTCTAATTTTAAGTTTTAAATTTTAATTTCAAAATTTCAAATTTTAAATAATCAATTTTCAGATTTATATCTTTTATTTTTTTTATTTTTGATCTCAAAATTGAGTTTTTAAAGTCAAAATCTCAAATTTCAAATTTTAAATTATAGATTTTGAATTTTAAATTTTTTTGTTTTATTAATTTTTAGTTTTAGAATTTTAAATTTTAAATTTTAATATTTCAATTCTAGATTTTCAACTTTAAACTTTAGTATTAAAACTTAAAATTTTAAATTTTAAATTTGAATTTTTAGTTTGTAATTTTTAAATTGATTTACTTGATTTGTCAAAGTCTATTATAGAAGTCAAAAGTCAACTGAAAAGCTATTTTCTCAATACACCGAATGTCGAATTGAAAATGAAGAGTTTGAAGATTTGTAATTATAATTCAGTTCTAAATCCACAATTTTATACTCCCAAATAGTAAAATTATAATTAGAGTTTCTACTTCAATTCCATGGCCTGAACTCCATGTACCAAATGGAGCCTAAAAGGTAATTGAAAATAATTTCAACACAAGATTCATCATAAGTCCTCATGGTGTGTCATAGAAAACATGATGGTGTGCCAAATGCACACCGACGCCAACCAGACCTTTTATATATATATATATATATATATATATATATAGTCAAAGTATTGTATTACTCCTTGGCACTAATTTTAGCATTCTATTCATACTGTACAACAATGGCCTCCTCTGCTACCGTCCACCCATCATCTTTGCCACAGTTTCCTTCAGATGAAATGTCCCAACAGCTCTACAAAGATAATGTCAACATAATTGTGGTTATATTACTCCGTAGGAGTATATAAAGAAAGACCAAAACACCACAGACACAAAGAAACAACACAACAGCATAACCAAGAGAAATCAGATCAAGTTAACAACCAAGCTTGGGATCGTCATTGAAGTTACATACAAATAATTGCAAAACCTTGACAACAAAAAAACATGTAAACCAAATAATCAGCAGTGGTCTTATGGTAAATAGTCAAATAATTGTTCATTCTGTTAAAATCCAGCTGTTAGGAGATTGTATTTTAAAACAAGTTTTAGCCAGTGTAGACTTTAAACGCATTAGTAGTAGTAGAATTATAAGGTTATGGGTAGGGAATCACTTTGTTTATACTACTTCGGGTATAGTTTTGTAGGGTTAGGATTCATCTATAATAGGGCTCGTGAATGATGTTGCTGCAGATATGGTACATGATAGGGCGCAATGATGTCGTTTGATCCATGTAGCCGACCCCACCTAGTGGGATAAGGCTTTGTTGTTGTTTTGATTCATCTATGACTACTTAAGAGACCTTAGACAAAAGTGAGATTTTCATTTTTTGTACATAATATGGCTAAATATTAAGTTATTGAAAGGGAAAAAACTCTAAGATGGCTATTTTTATGAAACTTAATAGTCATATATCAATATACAAAGTGAGTATATGAGTAAATAGTTAAACCTTAGAAGCTCTTCAAAATAATTCAATTTTTTTAAAAGAGGTTTTCACCAGACACCACGCATACCTCATTTTAAATTTAAAATACATCACATAAGAAAGGAGTTAAAAAGACAAACCTTGGAACATGTATACACAATTAAAGTCACCCAGTTCCATTTATCCACAGATTGCTTCAGTTTGTCACTACAAGCTTCATGTAGAAAATATAACAATGGGGGCATCAACTGCATTTCATAGTGCCTAGATCCACCACACATCCTGCATTTCTCAGGATCACACTGCTCTGCAGAAGCTAATAGTGGCTTTCCGCCGTATGAGTATCTAGGTGCGATGGGGATGAAAGGTGAAGGAAAAGTAAATACAATGCTTTATGCTTCATATTATAATACCAAAAAAATTATTCCATTGTTAGACATTGGAAGCTAAATAAGAAAGTGGAATTTAACACAATATTTCATCATGTGACAACTTGCACATTATATTTTTATTGAATGTAAAACTTTTCTACGTCATTTCAAGTGTTTTCCAATACAAATTTCACACTCAAATCCAGAGTTCTAGACTGAGCTAACATGAAAGAGACTCCAAACTTATTACCTGAAACATTGCTGTGGGTATGCATCTATTCGCTTTTTGAATTTAAAGAAAGTCCTGTCTACATTCAGTGCACTGTCATATTCATACTTCTCCTCTTCCCACACTTCATCATTTGAATTATCAAATTCAACATTTCGTTCAATGATAAAAGGCAGTGATTTTTTTGAGAACTTCTCCTCCTCCGCATGTATATAGAAACAAGGCATCACTGCATTTAATACATCACATTAGAAATAAGTATTTCCAGTTGAAAAAAATTTAAAGGGAAATGACTCACAAATCCATCTCTAATTGAAATTAGTAAGGTAATTCGCCAAAAAGGAAGTACATGTGAGACACTTAAAATCATTGACATTCTATTATTTATGATAAGCACTTCTGGTTCCCCGTTAGATTCATTGGCTATCTTATTTCCTAAATGGGCAAACAAATTGCAAAATAAGTTAGTAGTACAGATATTTCTCGTTTACTTTTTTAGGGGAAATGCACCATTTTTCCTTTTCCTAAATTTGCAAACACATTGCAAAATAAGTGAGAAGTACAGATCTTTCTCATTTAGTTTTTAAGGGAAAAGGCACCATTTTTCCTTTGCATATCATTCGAGGAGAAAAGCTACCTGGTTTTTTTCCATCAACTACTCGAGATGTGTGGCCTAATAACAACGGTTTTGCATTACGCTCATGATCGCGAATTTTCTTCTTGGAATGAGAGGCCAGGCTAGCAGCCTCAGAAAATGCCCTACTCAACTCTTCCAAGTCTATATCATTTTCAGCATCCTCCTCTTCAGCAGAATCAAAACTCCACAAATCCTTTTTCCAGTCATTATTTGTAGTGGAAACAGAAAATTCAGGTAAAGGGGCAGTATCATCATCAGAGGGGAATTTTGATCCTTCACCACTAACAGGTTTCTGAACTCTAAGAGCTCTCCAGCTATATGGAAAGCAGAATGTATAAAACAAGTACATCTAATCAGCACAAAACTACATCATTTGCTTAACTCTATGCTGGAATTGGATTTTAAAACACCTTGCGGGTGTGCTCCCACATTTTGATGCAGCACAACCAAAAATATAAATTACCCGTTCTTCAATACTAATATGATTTTTTGAAATAGGAGCATAAACCTGAGTATGCAAATGAAAGATGAGATAGCAAACAAAATATTAGCATCTGTCATGGATTGGGGAAAAACGATAAACATCTCAGCAATAAAACAGCTTCAAATTGTATAACCTGTGCAAGGAGACATAGACTGTTTTTACAAGCACTGCACTCAAGCAGATGAGACCTTATCATGCTAACCGAAAAAGGCCAGTCCTAGCAGAAGGAGGTATTTCATATCTTTACGTAAGAAGAAAAATCAAAAATAAACACAGACATTCATTGAATGATATAAATCTATAATTTCATATGTCCTTACTGGAAGTCCACCAATTTTATTGGTGTAATGATCAGCTACTTCATAGATATCATCAGCCCATGGTCCTGGCATGCCTAAAATAACTTTATCCATCCTTTTGATGTTAGTTACAATTCTTTCGACCAAGTATCAATGGTGGCCAAAACAATTTAACTGTAAATAAAAATTTCCCAAGTTAGAGGTACTACTTAGAACATCAAATTGTTGTTCTAAAAAACAAAAGAAATTATGGTCTCAAGGAATTCATCTACATGTCACGTCAATTGCATACTGATGGACTAAAAAAAGTAAGCATAAAAAATTGCAAACTTATGCAATAATATCATCAAAAGCTAAACAAATTTGCAATTTACATATGACGGCCTACATGTCAACTTCTGAAAACTCCACTGGATAAAAATCTTCCATTCTTAATAATTTAGCACTGTCAAAAGACTCAAACGAAGAACAAGGGCTTGAACATGCAACACAAGTTAACAACTTAGTACTTGCTACGGCAAACCTGCTCCCAAGCTCCTCACCAAATCTATCAATGATCTCAAATAAGCAACCAAACTTATAATGATGCAAAATTGTAATGATTGGAGCATTGCATGCACTCTCTTTTTGCTTCACAATTGAAGCACCAATACTTTGTTTGTCATTCATCAAATCTTCACATTTTAGAACAGAAATAGAATGTGGACTTTTTAGTCCACCCTCATGAAGGCCACACCTGTCCTTTTTACTCCAACCTTTAAATCCACTTCCCACAACATGGTCTCCCCCAACATCACTCACATTTTTAAACAAGTAACATGGAAAGCAATATGAAACATCCTTGGCAATACTATTATACTCCTTAAACCAAATTGGCAGAAATTTACGGTTCTTTTTAGACATTACCATAATGGGAACTTATGACTTCGCGGTTGGAAAGAACCCTTTTTTAGATAACTACAACGGATATCATCTTGTACATTTGGATGATAATCTATAATTCTCTTTCTTAACCCCGGATCAACCTCCAATGATTCAAAATCTAAATTCTCTTCCATTCGGTCAATATGTGGTTTTGGTGGGCGATTTAAAGATGACGTAACATTTGATATCAAATTTAATGGATCCTCACTCGGTTCTTTGTATTTCAATCTTGGTGTTGTTTCTAAAATACTTTTGCATCCATATTTCAATTAAAATAATTGTAAACATTATATATTTATAACATAATCTAAACATTTGACATACTCAAGTCACAATTCACATGATCACATATCATTTAACACGAACTTAATTCACAAATAACAAATTCAAAAGAATAAATTCACAAATCACAATTCACAAAGTTAAATTTGGATTAAATAATACTAAAACATGTGTCTTTTCTCAATTAGTACCTATAATTTTTTATTCTTTAAATAGTACTTGAATAATATTCATCATGTCCCATGGTGGGAACAATAACCAGTGGCGATGACACTTACTTCGAACAATGTCTAGTGGAGGTGAACATTTACATGTAAAATGTCCACACTGGAAAATCATTATGTTAGTACTATATACCTAAATTCCTCATTCACAAATCCAATTCACATTCAATAATTATTTATAAAAAAACCTGGCAGAGTGGAGAATTGAAGATTCCGATCAGAGTCGTGGCGAGCAGGAGGAATCGGCCAGAGACTCGGCGCCGGCGGTCGTCGAAACCGGGGCTGGCGGCCTTTACTTGAGAGACTCTAATCGTGGATTGGAGCATTTGCCGTAGAGTGGTTGACAGCTAAAATAGATATTGGGAATAGCAGAGTAGGGTTTTACGTTTACAAAAAAAAAAGAGTTCTGTGTCGCGAAGCATGGGTATGGCCGTATGGGTGCACTTCCAAAAAAGTACAGTAGTACACCGTACGGGTACCCCTAATAACCACCATATACACCCACACCTCCCCCTTTACTAACCACCTTTCTTCCTTGCACATTCCCTCGCACGATCTCTCACTTCTGTCGCCAACTACTCCGAGATTTTATCTAACGCAATCGATCCGGGACGACCTCCTTCCACCGGCCCTCCATCGGATGTCACGGCCGACCCTCCATCGTTTGTCGCCCGCACAAGAAGTACACGGCGTAAGATGTTCTTGACTGTGGCGCGTCATCATCACCAGTTTCCGTCACCATCATCGTCACACCATCATCGTCAATCATCATCACAATGTGCAAGTGTGATATGTAGGTTTCCGTCACCCTCATCGTAAATCTTGAAAGCTTTGTTGGAGGAGTGTGTGCGTGATAATGTACGAAGAACCTCCGTTCGTTCCTATGTTTGCAGGCAAGTTAATCCGTACAGTAAACACTATATGAATCTCTGTCATTCTAATGTTCAATTTTGTAACTCACACACAGACTATGATGTATATGAAGTTGTAACACATATGAGAAGTGTTTGTGATAATCTTAAAGAATGGAAATATTTGGAAAATAGTCCTTTAATGTAACTGGATGAGGATATTTGGTAGTAGACGTCTTGAAACGGGTTTAAAAGCATGAAGATGGGGCAAAAGATTATTTTGTTTGTCACTCTATTTTCACAGACAGTATGTTATTTAAATTAAAGCATCACAGACATATAATGTATGTAATAATTGGAATAGGGGAATTTTAGTGTTGTGACAGGTGTGTTGTTTTTTGACAAATATAGTTCTTATATCCTTATGTTTTTTCAGACAGTTAGGTGTTTAAAGTACTTCAACATAGACAGATAATGTACATAATATATGGAACAAAGGAAATTTAGTGTTGTATGTGCTTAAGGATTGTGCTTAGGGTTTTCAGAGACAGTGTGGTATTTCAAGAAGGGCAAAACAGACATATACTGTATGTGATAATTTGAACTGGGAATTTTAGTGTTGTGATATGTTCTTCTTTGACAGATTTAATAGACAATGATGACGGAGATCATGTACTCTACATGTCTTTCATTGACATGTTGGATGGGTGCGAGGAAAACAACAACACAATGGGGCATTGTAAGTTTCAAGTTAACGTCACCCCCCCTCGTGGTAAATATCATTAATAATAAGGTATTATATTGTTTTCTAGGTTTTGAGATGGACATGTCCGGAGAGCTGTGTGTTGAAGAACACGGAAGTGATGGTTGTCCCTGAGAACCTGCCTTACGTAAGATTAATTTGCAGAATTAACAATCCCCGAAGAGAATGAGCGTTGGGATTCATTTGTATGTAATCTGATGTTGGAAATGTTTGTCCAGGAATAGTGGTGGTGAGCATGTCGCCCGTGGGTAACTTGTCCACACATGAAGAGAATGAAAGTGATGGCAATGTTGGAAAAAGTTCTGATCTCCCAGAACCTGTAAGCCTTGTCCCTGATGTTGGGATGAAGTTCTCGAATTATGATGCCATATATGATTTCTACCATACTTATGCAAAGGCAATGGGGTTTCCCATTAAAAAGAGAAGTTTGAGGAGAGGATGTCATGGAACAATACGTTCTATCACAATCTCATGTGGTAGAGAAGGGAATAAGGTGAACCGATCTAAGAATTGTTTAAAGTTCCAAGCCCGATCAAATTGTGGTTGCACAGCCCGAATAACGGCAATATGTGATGATGAAGGTGTGTTTACTATTACAGTGGCGAATTTGGAACATAATCATGACATTAGTCCATCAAAGTCACGGATGTGGCGTTGTAACAGGAAGTTGCCGACCACATAAAATGAAGGCTCAAGGTGAATGATACAGCAGGAATCCCCCTTCAAAAGAGCTTTAACTCAGCCGTGGTTGAAGCTGGAGGGTACGATAAATTGTCCTTTATCGAAAAGGATTGTAGGAACTACGTTGAGCAAGTGCGAAGGGTGAAGCTATGTGCAGGGGATGCCATGGCTATACAAACATACTTTTGTACAATACAAGCTAAAAGTAACAGGTTTTCTAGCATGGACCTTGATGATGAGTCAAAGTTGAAAAACCTATTTTGGGCAGATAAGAGGTCTCGTCTTGCATGCAAGTACTACAGAGTCGTTGTGACATTTGATACGACATACCTCAGAAACAAGTACGATATGTCGTTCGCACCGTTTGTGGGTGTTAACCACCATGGGCAATCAATACTTCTAGTTTGTGGCTTAATTTGTTGCGAAGAGATAGAATCTTTTGTGTGGTTATTTCAAACATGGCTCAAGTGCAAGGATGGAATCCCACCACGTGGTATCATAACAGACCAAGACAGGTCGATGAAAAGTGCAATTGAAATTGTGTTCCCGACTACTAGACATCGGTGGTGTTTGTGGCATATAATGAAAAAAGCACCGCAAAAGTTTAACGGGCATGAGGATAAGGACAAAATACTTTGGAGATTTAATAACATTATTTATGAGATATATTTGAAACACAGAATTTTGATCAAGCTTGGAAAGATATGATTGCAAAATATGGACTAGAAAATAACTCCTTGCTGGCGGGGTTATTTCTAGAAAAGGAACGTTGGGTACCTTGTTATTGTCGTTCATCATTCTGGGTGGGTGTGTTCCTCATACTGAAAATTAGTTTTTTCACATACGTTTTATGTATATTATATGCATATCATATACAGTAAGTGTGTGTTTTACTATTCGTAATGTCAAAAGTGTATGGTCCATAATTCTTTGGTTTTATCGCAGACATGTCTACTACCCCACAGAGCGAGAGCATCAATGCTTTTTTGATGGATACGTCCACTCCATAACAACACTTACACAATTTGTTCACCAGTACGAGCGTGCATTGAGGAAGAGAGTTGAGGACGAATTCCAGGCAAATTCACTGCACGATCTTTTGGAAAAAATATGCCTTGCGCGACAACATTCCCCATGGAGAATCAAGTGCAAGAAGTTTATACTTCAGCAAAGTTCATAGAATTCCGAACGAAATTAACAAGTAAGATGTACTGTGACATTTCTTCTTGTGAGAATGGTATGATGTACGAAATCGATGAGGATGTTTGTGGGAAAGATTTTTCTGGTAAAGATTTATATAAAAGGGTGCCATTTCTGGTAGAGAGTGGTACTGTGGGCACTTGTCAGCTCTCCAACGTAAAAGTGGACATTTTATCTTTCGATTACACACTGCAATCTCATCTTCAAGGACTGGAAAGGTCTCATATGCCCAAATCTGAGAAAATAAAACACGTGGAAATGAATACTTTAAATTATACATCATGCAAAAATAGTTAGAGGAAGAAATATGAATTATAAATATCCCCTAAGGTACATGTATTATATATATACCCACTATCAGTCAGAAGTTTTCTGTTTTATTCATGTCCTAGGGGAGAAGTGTCTGTGTTATTCATGTCCTAGGCGATAAGTGTTTGTTTTATTCATGTCCTAGGCGGGAAGTGTCTGTTTTATAAATATACCCAATGTCAGATTGATTTTGTGTCTGTTTTATTCATGTCCTAGGCAATAAGTGTCTGTTTTATCCATGCCTTAGGCTAGAAGTGTCTGTTTTATAAATATCCCCAAATCTGAGAAAATAAAACACATGGAAATCAATACATTTTATTATACATCATATAAAAATAGTTAGAGGAAGAAATATGAATTAAACTTACTTGCAGAGCAAGTGGAAACCCATATAAATCATATTTCCATGACTTCAAATTTGAGTTGTTATTTTTCTTTTCTTTGAATTTCTCTGGTTGGCCATCCATCATTCCCTTCAATTGCCGCACGGTCAAGATGTATGACTCCCAAGCCCAAGGGTATGCAGCGAACATGTTAGGGTCATCAACTACTTCTAGGTGGGAGGCATCAATGCATGTACCTATATCTTTCGCTAGCAACACATGCTCGAAAAAATACAACGATACAAGCTTATGTAAATCACCGCCAGGTACATCCTCCTCCGCAGTCATAAACATAGAACGCAAGTAGGCGAAGGTGCATTTCATCGTGCCCCCTCCGAGATACTTATTGTGAATAGTCTCGGACGAAGCGTTGACATCGCTAAAGTTTGGATATGACTTGGAATTTGGCAAAGTAGTGATTCGACAGAATTCTTCAAAAGTGAACTTTTTAAGAGTACCATTGATCAAAAACCACATCTCGTCTTTAGGTTGTTGGCGAACGAGATGTAGCATAAGGATATGGATGAGTTGTCCAGAAAATTGCAGCTCCCGCACATCCATGAAATGACCAAATGGCATTTTTCGAAAGTTCACCATATTCTCTGCACTCAATTTGCTCTTCACTATGGCCACTGCATCTTCGAGTTCTCCACAAACCGAATACTGGGCGGGGGAGTGATCTTTGGTTGGAATCCAAAGTGACATTTTATTGTACCTACAAAATAAACATAAGTCATTGCCATAGTCATCATATAAGTGAGTAAAGAAAACTAATAACCATAACGTAGTACTTTTAGTAGAGACATGATAGTAATAAGTGGGCAAAGAATGCTCATCCATAGCAGTCCAGGAAGATAAATACATGATACGAAGAAGGCAAGCAATTAACACTGAAAACAGATATTCTGCGTCTGTGAGTAGCAGTTCACATACATTTGCCATTTTTCAGAAACTTAACATGAAAAAAACGTAATTAAGAACTTAAGATTCATAATACAAGAACAAAAATTAATAATTCAGGAAGATAAAAACATGATACGAAGCAGGCAAGCAATTAAAACTGAAAACAGATATTCTGCGTCTATGAGTAGCAGTTCACATACATTTACCATTTTTTTCCGGACATAAACATGAAACAACTGTAATTAAGAACTT